AACGAAAACCACTCAGACTGCGTCCTCTCCCTCTTGCTCCCTCAGAGGAGAGAGAAGAACGATCATCAATGGCAAATGGCAGTTGCGCGAGCAACACCAAGCGCCGGCTTCACGCTCAGGAGAGAACACTGCATCTCCTCCTCGTGGTTTCGGGTGCTCTACACGTTCAGAGAAACTTCTCTAGTCACAAACTATAGAAATGATCCCTGAAAGTATAGTCTTAGCTCCACCACCGCCGCCCCTGCCGGGTCCATGGCAGCCGTACGCTTTTCGGTCATGGTAACATAGTTTCCCTTTTTTTGGTTTCACTGGCAAAGACACAGTCTTTCCAGTATGTACAATCCTTAAAATGCTATCCCTTAACAATGAATTTTAAAAACTGTAAGTGGCAATGAAATGTAAAAAGTTTTTAAAAACGGCCACTTCATTAACATAATACTGAATGTCAGCCAATCACAATCTGCACCGTTAAAGCCTACGAGGCGTTCACTCAACAGCTCGTGTGAAGCGGCCTCGCCCCGCAGCTAAAGGAAATGGCGGGCTTTTCCTTCCTGAGAGGATCCAGTCGATTCCAGTGATTAGTAAAACTTGCACGCTGCGGTTGTCCAAAAGAGTCTTTCAGACTCTGATGGATTAGAGACAGGTCACCATGGCTGTGGCTGGGAGGAACTGGTGGTTGGGAACCAGCGCTGGGAAACAATGGTTTTTTTTTGGTATCATGTTTGCATTATCTGTTCACACTTTGAGTACTTAAAGCTAGTTGGTGTTTTAACATAAAAAAATCATTGTTAGTGCATCTTCTAATGAGATGAATAAAATATTTTTCAGTTGGTTCACGTGGAATAACAGTTTGCCACTAATCCTATACCTAATTTTGTTTTAAAAAGTGGGAGATCCGAGCAACCTTAAATAAGCAGATGGATGGGAACTGGATTTTTTTATAGCAATTCTACTATTTATGTCCCTTGTTTAATGTCCCGGGTGGTTTCGTTCCAGTAGGCGGTTCACGAGGAGGGAGCCGACGCCCGGACCTGCCTCCCCCGCGCCCAGGTCCTTCCTTCACCGTCCGGCTGAACCTCCGCCACCGCCT